GCACAAAAAAAAACAGGGAATTTGGAAGAACGAGAAAGAGCAAAATAAACCATGACTGTGTTGATAGTTTCTAAGCTTTTTTTTTTTTGATGGTTAGAGAAATTGAGGCAACTTTCGATTAGTCTCGGAGTTTTCATCGCTAAAATCAGGAATTATTCCGATAATCTCAATCCAGGCTATCTCATGTACATTGCGTCTGGTTTCGGCGTCCTAAACATGTGCAGTCAGCCGAAGGTGATCGCCTAACTATTTCTAGACGCTAGAGGTCCCCAGAGGTTCATGACTAATCAGAATGATCTTTCTCTATTTCATGCTTAAGTTCTTCAAGAAGCGGACGGACGAAAAACGAATGACCGCTTCGCTGTTTATCGATATTATCTCACCATTTTCTCTTTCGACTTCTTCGTTTTAAACGTTATTTTTTTCTTTCTTATTACTTCGTTTATCTTCTTCTTCTCTTCGATCCATTATTTTTAAAATTTTCTTCCTTTTTCCTTAAGATTTTTTGTTTTAATATACCTTTTCAAAATTGCGATTTTGCTTAACCTTTTTATTTTTTCTCTCTAATTATTCTTGTCTCATTAATATTTTCACATTCATGCCAATAGTTAATTTTTTTTTTCCAATATTCAGTTTTCCTTCCTATTTCCCGATTCTATTTTTGCATTTTTGGTTTCTCATAGAAAATTCCTATTTTTCTTCGATAACTGCATCAACAGGTTTACGTTCATTATATCTATATTACAACGTTTAAATATGCCTACTACATCACAGAATATTTCATGTACCTTGCCCCTTCAGAACACGAGCGATGATGACTCTCCACAAGTTCTTTATATAGATACAATCAATGTATATGCTTTTACCATCCTTCTCAGTCCTTGTTATATCATCTATTTACACAAGCCTTTTATTCGCTGTTTCCTTCTGACCCTCTTGTTTCCAATATATCAAATTCTCAAAGCTCTCTCTACCTCCCTCCCAAACCCCTCTCTCTCTTTCTCTCTCTCTCTCTCTCTCTCTCTCTCTCTCTCAGAAGTTTCAACTGTCTATTTCTGATTCTAAGTAAACGAGTCCTTTACGTTCCCAGTTTTCTTTAAAATTCTTAGTTGTTCCCATGTTCTTCTGTCCACCGTATTTTCAATGTCTAATTTACTGTACCAGTTACTATATTTGTAAAGTAAGCCAATTTTTACAAGTTCATTCATAACTACTTTATATGCCATTACTTTATAGTGATTTTCCAAGAGTAGCTTAGATGTGGCACAAAGTCAAATGTAAGAAGTACCCAGTGAGGATCGAACTCATTACTTAGTCGTAATTATTCTAGCGAGACAAGCTTGCTAAAACATTACACCGCCTCGAGGTGCTCATACAATTACTTTGTATACAATGTACCACACAAAGCGAGGTTTGAATTTTCTCGATGACATAGATTGGTATTTATTTATCGCTAATGGCAATGATCAGCGTTTAAGCCGAGATTAGAATCAAGATTTTCAAAAGTTGGTTTCAATATTTCACAGATCATTTTTAGTTATCAGGTGAGTGCAACATAATTTCTATTACCTTCAGAATTATCAAATGTGTGTAATTAAAATTTCAAGAAGACACACATTGTGCATTGATAGTCGCCGTATATAAATCTCATTTAATCTAATCACAAATGCCACACGCTCTATGTAGGAATATAAGCTGGGATAGGCTCCGTTCTCTTCCAGCAGCAGTAATAGGTGCCCAGTTGCAATGTGATTCAAAAAGTAAAATCGTTATTAATAAATAAAAGAAACATTCCAGATTTCCCCTACATGAACAATTAGCACTCATCAGAAGAAGAATTTGTAATATTCGCGAATAAGAATGAATTATGTATATTTGGTTGGTATTAAACAACTAGTTATGACTTAGAAAATGATTTCATTTTTTGGCGGACATTTAAACGATATTATTTTCTCACATAGTTGCTATGACTTAAATAACATGATCCAATAGAGAAAATAATACATTGATTTATTTATTTACTGCTGACTTTGATCCGTCTTAATGAAACACCTTTATATATATATATATATATATATATATATATATATATATATATATATATATATATATACCATCATCATAATTTCACCACAAGTAAAGCAATAAAGTCACTAGGACACAAGAGGTTTACTGATAATAAAAAAATGAGAAAATATTACTGAGGAGAATAGACAATAAATAACAGTATTCAAAAAGAGAAAAGATGGCGATTAACGTTGCATTTAAATGCTTTGAATATCATGCTTTACAGAAAAGCAAGAAGCCGGAACAGAATTTCACAGGCGAGAAAAGAATCTAATAAAATAGAATAAAATCAGCCTGACGATTCGGATGGTAAAACCATAGTAGCAAATTAAATTATATATATATATATATATATATATATATATATATATATATATATATATATATATATATATGCCTTTTTAATTTAATGTTCTCATATACATATATATATATATATATATATATATATATATTATAAATTAACTGATTGAAAATATGTTTTTTGCTACACAGTAATAACCATGTTTCAAAAATGGAAGCTAAAACTTTAAATTTAATTATATAATTAAATTAAAAGCAATAGTTCCGTTTCATCTTCAATCGAATATTGGAATAACTTACAGATGCATAATTTACTGTTTCCAAGGATACAGAGAACTCCAATCATTCAGACAGGGGCGGTAGAGTGTTCATTTTTATTAACTATTGTTGTATCAATTATGAGTTACGTTCGAAAAAGGGGTTAAGTTTAGGGAGTGTAGGGGTCTATTTTCTAACGAATTCTGACATCCGTTAAATGCATGTCGTCTGTTCTTTTTTGTTTGTTTTTTTTTTTTTATTAACGGCAAAAAGTTTTTCGGCATTTTTTTTCTTACTTGTATACTTAAAGATTCTTTTTCGCTGTGTTTGTTTTAGAATACGTTTTATTTAACTACAATTTTAAAGTATTTTTACTCTTTACTCCTTATTACTTATAGACTATATTTTTTTTTTAAACAAGTAAATGTAATAGAATTACTTACATTATTTAAAATTATTTTTTCATATCAAATATAAGTATGTATAGTACATTTTATTTTTAAATATTATTTAAGGAAAAGTTTTGACAATGACGGCAAAAAATAGCTATTCATTTCGCTGATTCAGTAATTTTTTTTATAAACTTAGTAATACATAGTTTCTCATGTATGCACAAAGGACATGGGTCTCTTAATGACCTACATATTCTAGCTTTTCTTATTAATTTCCATTTTACCGTAAGTGTTTTATTTGATTCTTTTAAGTGCTAAAAATACTTTGAAAGCGATGTCTGATTTCTGTATTTATTTATCCTAAATGAAGTTTGGTGCTGATTGAACCGCTTTTTCAACTCATGGCTTGTGCAACCTATATAGATTTTTATGTTTTCGGGATTCTCAATAGATGAGATATTGCATTGGTATACTAATGATACCGTGCAACATTTATTTTGTAGAGGACAGTTATGAGGGTTTCTACAGTACATAATTTTTGTTTATCTTCATCTGTTTTTATTTTTATTTTTATATTGTCTAAATTTCTTTGGTTTTTGTCTAAGTATTTATTTAAGATATTAGCATTATGTTTCTTAATATTTTTCTAAGTTTTCAATACAGTTGTAACTTAATTTTACTGTATTTTTATTGAAAATAGCACTTAGTTTAATTTCTTTAGGAAAGTGCTTAACTATTAATGCAAGGAATTTTTGTCCTAATTTGTTCTTTACCATTTGGTTGTATGGGGGGAGGTGTATACCAAATTATTTTTCTACTTCTGTTCTTACTATGCTTTTCATTTTCCTTTTTTATATCAGTTAGTTTTGGGTTTTTGTAGCCACTATCTTTTAGTGCTTTATTATAGAAATTAATATGTTCATAGAAAATTTGCTGAATTTGTACTTATTCTTTTTCCGATAGATAAAGGTATATGTTTAATTATAGATGGGGGATGATTTAATTTAGAGTGTATATATAAAGGATTGGTATTGGGTTTTTTATAAGGTATGTATACATTTTTCATTAAATCTAATGTTATATCAAGGAAGTCAACTTTTTAATTTAGTACTTACCATAATTTTAAGTTCAGACCTTTAAATTCTTTATATAATATCTTTTTAATTTTATCGATTTTAAAGTTAGTAGAGTTCCTTATAACCATACGTCCATCGTCTCTGTATAAACCAATGTCAGTTATATTAACTTCACGGTGCGCTGTAAGATTGTATAATATAAAAAGACCTATAAGATCAGAAGACTCAGCTGAGTCTAGTGATCCCATTGTGATATCAAAGTGGTCATATGAATTTTTTATCCATTGCTAACCTTTATGTGTCAGCACCGATTTTTTTGCATTTATAATAATGCTCTTTTCTTCTTCAGTAATATTTGTGTACTGGGTAGCAAAGTTCAACGCATTCATGAACAGCTCTTTAGATATTGATTGATAATAATTTTCAATATCAAACTGCATTAATGTACAGTTCGTTTTCTCCTTTATATAAGCAAACCGGTTTGTCATGTCTTTGGTATTAATCCAAAGTTTCAGGCCTATTTTTTCTTTAATTTGTTGATTTACCATTTCAAGGATCATTTTACTAATTTTTCCGAAATCAGGTCTTATCCTTGTAGTCGGATTAGCCTGGTTTGTGATCCTTTAATATTATATAGCACTCTCTTTCATTTAGTTGACCTACTATATCACTAATCTTCAGTTTTTCTGTGAATTTTTAATGCTAGTATTAATATTCTCAATCATGTTGAGGTCATTATTATTTTCCTTTTTATAGTTTTTATGTAAATCCTTATTTATTAGACTGTTGTAGCCCCTTGTTAACTGTGTAGCAAAAAAGAAAACATATTTTCAATCAGTTTATTTATAATATTTATGCTCTGTAAATTTACATATCAATAAGAACACCGGATTATATATCTTACTGTTCTTTCATTATAGATAGATAGATAGATAGATAGATAGATAGATAGATAGATAGGGTTTATATATTTAATACAAAGTATCCACTACATAACGTTTGGAGTAATAAAAATATCAGATTAAAAATTAATTTTTAATTATTCATATATATATATATATATATATATATATATATATAAGTTGACATTGAGATCAGTATCAAGCGGCGACAGTCTGTTTCATGCTTAAATGCAATCGTCAGACCATGATGTTTCCACTGGATTTTACCCCTGTTATTGAACACGTGTACGCATAAATATAGCTTACCTTAAAACTATATCTATAAGTGTGTGTGCGTGAGAGAGAGAGTGAGAGAGAGAGAGAGAGAGAGAAAGAGATATTTGTGTGGTGTGATCATTTATAGTTTTCGTTTTTCTATCATGCACCACCTACGTTTCTCTCTTCACAGTGATTATCTCTTACGTTTGACAAAATATACACGTTCTGTGTGTATGAATACAAACACACACATTGTACACACACACACACACATATATATATATATATATATATATATATATATATATATATAGAGAGAGAGAGAGAGAGAGAGAGAAAGAATGAATCTGCATGTATTTTTTATTTCTTTTGATAGAATACAAGCTAATCGTCATATCTTTCACGAATGTCTTGATCTTTCATCAATCACCAATCAAAACTTATATCCCCCGCTCAAAAAAATGCATTCATCTCAACTGATCCATAGCGCTGTTCCCAATCTCCAATGACATGATTCCAGAATAGATATGAATTTTTTTTTTATTATTATTATTTTGCATTTTCTCAATAGATTTCTCTTGTGGCTCAGTTCATCTTGAGGTGAGACTTGCAATCTATGAAATCATCCAACGGTTAAAAGTTTTTATTACTTCTTAAATATCATGAGCCTATCAGGAGGTTTGGCAAATAATGTCAATGGCTTTCTGCTGATCTGGTTAATAGTGCTCTTTTACAAGCGTTGGTTTTACAGCTGGGTGAGGGTTAGATGTTCTTAGAAAAAGATTTTATTATTCAAAGTGCTTTCATTTTCTTTTTTATCATAATCTATTTCAGCCTTCAAAAAACGATTGCTGAAATTAAAAAAGAACATAAGTGCTTTGTGTGTGTCTTTGTGTAAATTGAGAGAGAAAAGAAGAAGGAGACATATAGATAGCGAGACAGTGTGAGGGGAACTATTTAGTGGCTACGTTATTGTCGTGTTTTACATTGTTATTCGTTAGTCAGTATTTGAATCCAATGAAAAAGGCAGGGTGACGAATGCTGATTTTTAGAATATTGGCGAAAAATCTTCCTATGCTCCATCTTCTGCTTGCACCATATTAGGTACATATATGCCTAAAACTCTATCCGGCTATATCTATATCTTTCAATCCTCCTTTATACACACACACACTATATATATATATATATATATATATATATATATATATATATATATATATATATATATATATATATATATACATATATATATATATATATATATATATATATATATATATATTCAAATAAATAAATTCAAAAATTTTCAAACTACCAGCGTCTCTCATTCTGGCGCATGTGTAGCCACAACAACGTCAACAAATCATGTCTGATGAAGTCCTAACGGATGAAACGCGTCATGAAAAACTTTTTACAATTTGCCATACATGTTTTCTTTCAAAACCGTTTATCCATATATATATATATATATATATATATATATATATATATATATATATATATATATATATATATATATATATATATATATATATATATATATATATATACATGGTAATTGTTCGGATAAACCCTCCGCTATGCTACCTAGACTGTATGGATTTAAGCGCAATACGAGACTGGCGGCGAGATCTCATCAATTTACAGTTGAGCTAAGTAGATGTAGACGTAACTTCTATGCTAACAGTTACTTATCGCTCCCTTCTCGCTTGTGGAACACCTTCCTGGCTCCCTACTTTCCAACCAACTTTAAACTGCAAAAATGTAAATGCAATGTCAATCGATATCTACTGTCCTCCTGATTCCTCTTTTCTCTTTCTCCTCATTACTAATGTTTCTGTTCCTAATTCCTCCACACCCTTTAATCTATTGCGTTCTAGTGGTTGTACTGCCTTACTTGGGGTGATATCGATTAAAATAAATATATATATATATATATATATATATATATATATATATATATATATATATATATATATATATATATATATATATATATATATATAGAGAGAGAGAGAGAGAGAGAGAGAGAGAGAGTAACAACCAAATTCTATCCATTCTATTCGCAATGTCTTATAAACTTGGAGCACATGGTTTAACAAGTAAAGAGATAAGATTGATACGATTTTCCAATATAAACTGCTTATAAAACACTTCAGGAATGGAATGTAGGAGACTACTGCAACTTATTTAGCATCAAGGGATCTTCGTAAGGAAGTGATGAACTGTAATATCAAAAAAGTTTCTGAATAAATGTTACTAATTATAAGTGTAATAGGGTATCTTTATGACATAGATTATTATAGCAGAACAAGTAGAAGACAGCAATGCAATTTTTTCAATGGGCCAACATTCAACAGAGGAAGCAATGGGTAATTGCAATCTGTTGCAATTTTTTTATACTGAAAGGCTGCATGACAAAGATGTATCTTCTCACTGGATTTATTCAGCTTTTACAATGAGGTGCTTCTGAAAGTCCTACCAGTATTCATTACTGGCGGTCACAATCTTAATAACATTAAGTATGCTAATATGATAATGTCGATAGCAGACACTGAAAGGAAAATACAATCACTCCTACAACAGGTATTAAAGGAAAGTGAGAAAAAAGACCAAACATCAATTGTAAGATGACAGAATATATGGCTGTTAACAGAAAGAAGAGCCAAGCATGTGAATTACAAATTGGAGATACGAAAATCAAACAAATACGAAAGTTTAGATATCTAGGAAGTATTTTAACGGAGGATGGAAAATGCTACACCGAAATCCGAAGGCGCATTGAGATAGCAAAAATGCCTTTTAAATGCTAAGTAAAGTATTAAAAATCATGAAAAAGTGGTAGAAACAAAAAGAGAGTATTAGATTGTTATGCACTATCGGTCGTCCTATATGGTAGTTAATGCTGGACAATCCCTACACAGATGAAAAGAATTTAAGCAACAGAAATGTGGTTCTACAGAAGGATACTGAGCATTCCATTGACTGAATATATGAGCAACGACGATGAAACAAGGACACTTATACTTAACATCAGAAAGAGACTCTTGAAATTTCTAGAGCACATAAGGAAAAGAGGCTTAGAAAATATGACACTCACAGAATATATTGAAAGCAAGAGAGACAGAGGAAAAACAGCCTATAACAAATCTAACGATCTTGTGTTTGCAGAACCAGCATTAGGATAGATAGCGAAAAGACAAGATAAACTACTAAGCTACTAAGTACAGGAAGCTGTTGCGAGACATGACTGCCCACTTTCTTAAAATGCATGCTACATAGAATTTGTCGAATTGGTTCTAACTTACAGTTTTCGACTTGTCATAATCTGAAAATCTCCATGTCAAGTATTGTATTTGCACTGCTTGCAACTCTTTTCTAAACCCTGCAGATTTTTGTTTATAGTTCAGGATCAATTTGGTACTTCAAAATTTCTTGAACGGCTATGAATTCATAAGAAACCCTAGTCTTCATGCAAAAAGGAGTTAACTTAATATTCCCTAACAGATTTTTTGCTTTTATGAAGGCAATAACTTTTTTATTAACGGATAGGCATCTTGTTCAACAGCAGAAATTTGTATTTAATCAACCCTCCACAATGCCAGGTTGTGACACAAAGTCGGTTTAATGTGGGGTGCCCGAGCGCGTAAACCCGAGCCCCGAAACCGTCGGTTGCGCAGCTCCCGGTGCGAGCACCGATCCCTCTCTCTCTCTCTGGTACAATGAGAGGTCGTGGCCTCGGGCAGCTGTTCCCTGGGGCTGCGCACCTCAGTATAATTTTCCTCAGTTGCGGCTCTGTCCTTTGAGCGATGCGCCCCTGAGCGCACTCTACCGAAAGTCAGAGACGTAACTGAGAGATTATAAATAAACACATTGCAAACTACTCGAGAGTAGTTTACACAGAAAGTTCTACAGTAGAAATACTGACAAATCACCAAAACGTACAAGCAACTCTCAAGACGATATTGATTTCCGAAGACAAATTCTATTGAATGCGGTTGGATCATTTCGGATCATAAAATTAGAAAATATCCAGAAATCCTTCTAAAAAAGAAAATTGTCGTCTCATATTTTGAATTCAGCCTGTTCAAATATTTCATAGGGAAAAGTTTCGAACTGTTAAATTTTACAATTGAGAGAGTACATTTAATGATAGGAAATCTCGAAATTATAATTTGCATGTTTTTAATCGTGTTACTCATTGAATAAGTGCTACTTCCAAGGAGCCAAATCCTCCTTATTTTCCCATGATCCAAATGTAAAAAGTAAGTTCCACTCACAGAGCTTCTTCAGCCACCAGGAAGTGCTACTCTGAGGAACAGCCTCTCTCACAGGTGCTTCGCGGAACAATTTAATGTTGACCTCTTCAAGACAAGTGACAATCGTTATCTATCTTGCTAATCTTCACTTTTGACCACCTTCTCTTCTACTCATCACTCATTCATCATTACTTTTCAAAGGTAATCATCTGCCTTGAGTGGCTCTCGGGAATTGTGCGAGGTAAAATTTAGTGAAAAAATACGCTTGTTTGAAAAAATTGTATTTGCTTTTGATGTGTGCCAAGGTGTATGCATATAGCTTGGTAGAAAAGTGATCGTAATTTTTCTCTTCAAATTGAAACCAAAACAAAAAGGGAAGGTTTTTTTTTGTTTGTTTTTTTTTCTAGAGTGATTGAGATTAAAGTAGCAGCTCGACCTTTACCAAAAGAAAATCGTAAAAAAAAGCAATTATTTTATCAAAAATAATTGCAACAATCTTTTTGTGGTGTTTTACTGTTTATTTGCGGAATTTTATCAAAGTTCTTTTTATTGTATTGGCTTTTATTTTAGATTCAAAAAACCTCCGCTTTGATGAGAGTAAAGAATTATTGAATAGGTACAGAAGTGTATATTTTTCTTTGTCAAATACACTTGTGAAACGCATAAGTGTGTCTGGTCTATTTAGATCTCGTAACATTTGGTAATGTTGTTTGTCAGATTCGCAATTTGTGACAGCTGATTTGATAAACTTACACAAAGACAATAAATAATAACGAATATTGCTTAAGTTCAGGTGTCACTCTTAGAAAAGCAAAACCTGAATATGACTAAAAATGTCCATCTGTTAAAGGTTTACATCAATAAACATTAAAAGTGGGGGAGTGAAATAAAGAAAAAAAAACAATGTCCTGAGTGGGAAAAAAAGTGCTAGATAGGAGAAAAAGAAATAGGAAAAACAAGAAAGACAAATCAGTAGAAAATATAAGACATAAACTAAATAAAAGAATCATAAAAGTCAATAAAACATTATTAAAAGAAAGGAAGAAACATGTACACAGAAAGGAAGATAATTTGAGATCAATTTGGCTGAGTCATAGAAAATTTCCGTTTTTCTTTATCAAATTAATTCTTCAGAAAATAAACAACAATTATATGTTATCAGTTCTATATTAACCATTATTTACAAGGAATTTTCCCCCATTTATCAGTGAGCACTTTGATAATTTATGAGTAAAGTTCCTCAGGTTTTGTAACTGGTTTTCATTACATAGTTTGTTCCCCCCCCCCATGAAAGTCTTTTGCAGTGATCGAATGAAGGTAGTAATTGGTTGGTGCAAGGTTGATTGAATATGGCGGGTGGAAAATAAACAAACATCCAGAGCTATTCCTGCAGGATGCGGCTTTTCTTTGTCATGGACGAAGGGGAGAATATTTTTTTCTAATCCACTGTTTAAAGTGCCACTGCTGTGTACTCCAAATGTATTCTTAACTATCACGTATCAGTAATTAGGAGGATAAGATTCATCGTTACAGTTGGTTTCCCAAAATGGAAATCAGTTATGATTCAACTCAATATATTAAAAAAAAAACAATATCAGAAGTTAGAAAAAATAAAATTAAGTAAGCAAGAAAAATAAAAGAAAGACTTCAGAAAACAAATTGTAAAAGAAAAGGTGTAAAAGTGTAAAAGAAAATATAGAAAGATGAGCAAAAAAAAACCGACAGAAACGAGAAAACAAAAAGTGATAAAAGGAGTAACGGCTAAAAATAGGTACTTGTTTAATGTACGTAATAAACTTGCAGTAAAGCTGAACTGCAGACGAGAAGAGTTCCTACAAATTTGCCAAGCTTATGAGTTGCTAAAAATATTTTCTTTATGACAAAAAACTTTCAATGTAACAGGTGAGAAGAGACAGACAGACGGCGTGATGTAAAGAAGCATGTGAACGTAGAGACGGTCGCTTTTTTTTCCCGAGGCTTTTTACTAATTTACTTTACATTTAGCTCACAGCATTTGATTGTTTGTCTTCATTGTATTGTTTCCGTTTTTTTTTTTCTTTTTTGTTCTTGTCTTTTATATAAAAGGAAGAAATGTCGAACAAAGGAGAGAAAGAAAACGGAAAACGGACAAGCGTAACAAAGAGGAGAAACGAAAGAAATGAAAAAAAAGCGGCATAGAAACTTAATGAATGGCAATAAGGAAATAAAGAGTGGAAGAGAACGAAAGGAAGAAATGACTCGGAAAAGGATAGAAAGGAAGAAATGACTCGGAAAAGAAATACGAGGAAAAGGATAGAAAGGAAGAAAAAAACAGAAATGAAAAAAATTTTAAAAAAGAATGAAATTTAAAAAGTGTATAATAAAATAAAAAAGACTCAAAAATAAAACGAAAATAAATAAATATTAGTTGAGCAATACTAATTTGCTAGTATCCGAGGAATTTCATGAAACACTTATTAAGATCAATCAGGCTACTCGTTCAACAAAGTAAATCCTATTCTACAGTAGGCACGAAAGCGATCATTTCAAATTTTGTACACAATCTGTATATCCAGAAGAAAATACAACAAATACGCATGTACGAATCTCACCCCATTCATATATTTTTTAATATAAAATTGTGCAGTTGATAACATTATTTTCCAAATAATGAGGTTTGACAAAAAATATTATGTAGGACACTTTTTTGTATATATTTTTTAATTGGTTTACTGTAGCAAAATCTGTCTAAGACAAGAAAGTTTAACCGAGCCCATCCATCTTAAGGCTGTTTTACTAGTCTTACTCCGAGATTAGTTGCCCTACTAAGGCTAAAATTTCAGCCTACTCTATTTTTTCACCTTTAGCTAAAGGGGGACGGGACTGATTAATAACTTTCCCAAGAGTACGAAAGAAATGTGAATGCAAATAAACCGTAGTTTGAACTCGGCACAAAGAATGCCTTTCTCTAAACACACCTCCAATTTAAAAGTTTCTGGCTATAAATTATAAACTAAATAAATGTATGAAATAAATGACATTGTCAAAGTTATCTTGAATAGTTGACAACATAAGGAAAATAATATATTAATAAAAACACATAAAAATAAAATCTATTAAAATTTAGTAGAGATTATATACTATACAAATATATTTTTGTCTCAGTAAAATTCACTCGAATGTACCAAAATAAAAGCATTAATCATAGTGACAAGGGGAGGCATAGGTCGCTTAAAGTCGAGGTTTTTGACATGGTGTTTGTACCCTGTGTGTAAAAGACGCATACTATTTGTAAAGTATAAATAATAATATACAAATGAAAATATTATATAAAAATGCTCAATTATTTTTAAAACATTAATATAAAAATCTAAAACAAAAAATTAATAAGTAAAAAATTATGATTTATAGATCCGTTATATATTTGTTTTAGACAACGACCCACCTACAATATTATAAACACAGATTATGTTTAAATTATGCTTTTAGTGGTGTGAATTTATATATAATAAAGATAACTGCAGCTGATATCATCAACAAATATATATCATTAATCAATAACTGGATCCCTTCACGAGATTAACTATTTTCACAAACTCATGTTTTAAACAACGGTATTTCGTGACCCATAAATTACCCCTAAAGTTGTGTAAGAAATGGATTGGTTAGTATAAATCTAATGTTAAAATTTAGATTTTAACCAAAACCCAGAGATAAAATTGCTATTAATATCTAAATTTTATCTAAATGCATCATTTAATAATTATGGTTGAACAAATGGAAAATTTTATCTAATACAAAAAATCATTTTACGTGTTTAACAGGAGTATTTTAAAACAGTTCACATCATAAAAATAAGTATTTTTTATAGAGACAGGAAGATATGATCTGCAAATAAACTGATGAGGATGTATAAAAAAGATAAGTGAATTCAATTAGTTTATTTTAATTTTACATTATATATATATATATATATATATATATATATATATATAATAAAGGAGAGGGATATTTAAAGAAAACAGATTTAGACAATGCTAATATGAAAAAAATTCCTTAAAAGCGGTCAATACTGTATAGTGCTTAATAAATATAAAATTATAATATACAAATACATTAAAAATTAAAAATTACAGTTACAACGTTGTTATCGTCAACTTTGAATACGCTTTACCCGGACACTAAATTGTAGCTGAATAGATTAGAAATACTCAGATGAATACAGCAAGTTTGTCTTAACATAAACAAGACCCTGAAGATGGCATTGAGGTAATGTCGAAAGTATTGAGGAATAAAATGAATATATATATATATATATCAACACATTCATTTTCTTCCTTCTTTTAATAAGGATACTAAGAAACTCATTCGTAAATATGAGGGGATTCTATTAAAAATAAATAGACAAAACTTGTTTAAATTATTTAATGAGACATGCCTTAATATATATATATATATATATATATATATATATATATATATATATGATGAACTCTCCCGTCGTCTTCGAACCGACAGCCAGACACTGACATATATGATTTGATTTTAGTGGTGAAACCTTTGTGCAGAACCAACCATAGTTTTTGAAGGGCCAAATAACGACCCCGTGCACTACGTGCCACAAGGTCTCCAAACAACCCTCCACAGGTTTTCAATTCAGAGTTGTCCTTCTCCTAGACCAGTTGTCATCCAAAGCTATAGAACCCAGTCTGTTCTGCTATTTACCCACAGCTGGAGGGAGAAGAAGTTTCCCAAGGTTATTAGCGCGTAAGTGAATGTAATGGATTTGACTGGAATCCAACCTCAGCCGCTTTTCATTACTCCACTATATTGCGTTCATATCTGAAATTGACGTTAAATACACAATTAAACGTGAAGGATGTGAGCAATCCACAATAATAAAAATATAGCCTGACCAAAATTTGCTAAAGTTATATAAAGATATAAAACTATAAATATATCAGTTTTATTATGTAAGTCATTTTTTCCATAGCATGTCTCATGTATTAGATCAAATTTTCAGTTTGAGGATAGTTAGAAAAAAAATTGGATTGACCAGTAAGTTATTTGATAACTTCTGTTTCGATTGTAAATAAAAGGAAAAATGCACGAATATTAAGAATCCTGATTAAAGATATGAAAGCAATCAAATTATCACGTTTAAATATAAAAGAAATCACAAAAGAGCGTGTTAATTTGTGAGTAGTGCAGGAAAATCAATTCCTTAACAGTAACTTTTAAGGATGAATATAGAGCTCAACTGGATGAAGCTAATGAGCCAAGGATAGAGGTTGGGTCATTTCTGGAAATAGTTAAATTTGATTTAATGCTTTTTGTAACATTATAAATGCCCTTAAATTTTATAGTGTTAGAGAGTGTTTGTGTGTATGTAGCGAAAAAATTAAAATTTATATAAAACAAGAGATGATTCTCTATCCGTCACACACAGCTTGTCACTTAGCATGAATTTATATCATGTAGATGCGTATATCTGTGCGGTGTGTGTGAGTGATATGTGCTTGTATACACACCAATACGCGCACGGTTTTTCTAAGTTTGAATGAAGACATTGGGAAAATACATCCCCCAGATGTTTTCTCTTATTTCACCCCAAAATAATGGAAAGTTACTTACCGCAAATATTAATTCACCACGATAAATTATAAATTTTAAATCCAAATTTGTTTAGCTTTGACTCCAACCCTCAGAATGAAAAGTTACCAAAAATCAGGTTTCATTCACATTTCGTAAGTGCAGATGATATTCAACTTACTTACAAGGGATTTTTTTACAATTTAAAAAAAGAAAAAGAAAAAAAATCTTTTTTTTTTCGGGGTGAACGCGAATATATTTAATTTAAATACAGCAAACATAAAAAATATCTTCCCTAGGCTGCTTATTTTGGCTTATGATCTGTTGCTAGGTAAAAATGGAAATTAGATTTCTCGACAAAGATATCCATTCCAATTCCAGTTGAATTGAGTATGCATGTACGAATAGAAAGTCTTCTACCTCTCATAAGCAAAGAGGCTTATGGCCGTATCACGTTGAAATGACGGTTCCTGTATGATCACCGATGTTAAGCAATGTCGAGACTGGTTAGTACGTAGATGAATACCGCTCGGGAACATCAGGCGCTATAACTTGGATGTGAGGATGATGATAATTGATAACAGTTTGGAATTAGAAATTGGTGAGCCGAGTTCCAATTCTCAGCAGGGTTTGTTATATTTACTTACGCGAAGATTATCTTAGGAAAGGTATGACTATACATTTTATCCCCCCAGCTATAGGTTAATTAGTAGAACTTGTATCATAAATTATTATTATCTCCCAAAAATTCTTACAATCTAAAATATTTTCTGACTTTAACCTGCAAAAGGTTGATAAACTGTAAAAAAACAATCAATGTTAAGTGAAGAAAAAGTATTCTGATGCGGAATATTGCAGCTATGCTTTGGGTTGTCTATAAGGCAATATAATTTTTGCAATGTTGTGGGTAATTTAAAATAATGTTAATGTAGCTTTAAAAGACAACGTTACAAAGGCAACATTGCGGGCACGTTTTGGAAAATCTACAAAGAAGTTAATGTAACTTTACAAGATAACGTTTCTGCGATTTCTATGTAACATTGCAGAATCGCCATTGTGTTAGTTGAGAGGAAAACAAAACGTAACGTTACATATATCCCAACCAAAATACAACGAGTGTGTAACATTGTCAGCTGAGATATTCTACTTCAATGATAAACCTAAAATACATCAGTAAAATTAAAGGAACTGTTAATTCACTCCAAAATATGAATTCACCCCAAATAAAAAGAATTTATATTTACTAAAATCCACACCAAATTCTTCCAGAGCGAGACCCTTCCATTGCTCTCTAGTTGGGTTGACCTTTGTTATCACCACGAATGTGGTCGACTTATGTGCGCTGTTTCTACCTGTGGGGTTTGTTTTTTTGTATTTAAATTGAATATATTCGCCCTCACCCCCGATAAACAAGCCCAAAACTGCTTTTAATTATTTTATATATATTTTCTAATAAATGTTGTATTTTAAATAACAAAACTATTTAGATTTTGAATCTGATCATATACCATCAGCAAAGCCACGTGTACCGGACTGGTATGCATTCAATTTTGTTATTTACATTTCTTTTGAAAGAAACAATCCTTTGACGAAAAATTAAAATTTTTTGTACGTATAAAAACCGGTATCTCCAAAGATTCACTAAAAAATTGAGCATATATGGTTAAAAAATGTCTCAAGCTTAACAGAAATAGAGTTTTATCGTCAAAATCTTTGTTATTATTAAGAGGAAAGATCAAATGATTGTTTATATGTAAATTTATTTTTTAAATCTTTTTTAGAGCCTTCGAAATTTTGATTAAAATCTTGTTCTCCGGTGTCAACTTTGTACCATAAATTAGTATGGGAAATTTTAGCATTTTTTTTCGGTTTAAAATACAATTTTAAAATTTAAAATTCTTGCAAAAATCAAATAATGGTCGGATTTTAAAGAAACTTTCAGGACTTATTCACAAATGAATGAAATTCTTTTTGAAATATTTCTTTATTAGGAAAATCTTTATAATTCATTTATTTTTCTTCCAATTATTAAATTTTATGAAATTTCTCGGAGAATTTAAATCGTGAAATTGTTTTGGTCAAACAGCAGCCCCAGTTACAGAAAATCTGCTCTGAATCGTAAAATAAAAAATGCAATAAAATTAAGACGACATTTCATTAGAAAAGATTTTAATTGCTGTAAAATATGCTATGAGCACTATTGTCTTAAGAAAAAGATGTTCGATGAATAATGAATTTTTACAAGAATTATTTTCATTTTTTAATTTTAATTGGAATAATTTATAAACTTTTAAAACTTAAAATTCTGTATTAATTTTTAACGGTCAAGTGATATGTTTTTAAAACTGTTTTCACTAGTCATAAATGGAAATGCTGGCTACAATTCAGCGACCCACAATATTTTAAAAAGAATTTGGGATTTACTTTATGTAACTATAAACATGCCGATTTTTGTAAATAAGGATGTCTATACGCGACATTATCAAAAATAATAGCGGTAAAGTTAAAATTTATTGATAATTTTTTTAACCTTTTCTCAACAAGTGTCTTCGTAAGACTATAAAGCATAAGACTAACATTCAATAAAATATAAAATTGCTTAGAATATTTTCTTAAATTTTTAAGATTACTAGGTAGTTAAAAAATTATATATAAAGGCGTTGACATATTCAAATAATTATTACAATTATGTACCCTCTTAGAAAAATTCCTACATATAAGTCTATCCGGTTGTCAATGCCAATTGTATATGTCTAATTCTTGAAAACTTACCCGTTGCTTACATGCAACGTCTATGGTATTCTCAGCATCCTTTTATAGAACTACATCTCTGTTGCCTTTCTTATAATAAGACCTATCTACTTACATACACACTTTACACTTACATTTTTAATCTCTTTGCGTGTTTTGTAATAAAATGTCATAAAATAGCAAGCAGCTCGTGTATGAATAATCATTATGTCAACATACAACATTTGAAAAACTAATTGATCATTTTATCTACAATAGACAACAGAAGAGCTGGTAATTTAGTAGGACTTAATAAAGTCAATAGATACAACAATAGATGTAATATTTCAATTATTCATACATTTATTTCATGCGACGTCTATTTATTAATATTAGTTTAGTGTGACACAAGGCCATATAAGTACGTCTTCTTTCGAGAATCGAACACAACGCATTAACTTAAACGAGAGTTATTTTCCAACTATAGCTCTCCAGTAGGCGAATTCAACAAATAACAATCAACGTACTTATTGATCTAACGTCTATGCGAATTTTATATATAAAGGATTTTATATATAAAGGTTGTAATTATGTATATATATATATATATATATATATATATATATATATATATATATATATATGTGTGTGTGTGTGTGTGTGTGTGTGTGTATATATATATATATATATATATATATATATATATATATATATATATATATATATATATATATATATATATATATATATAAAGGAGTTTCAAAATACAAGCATTCCTGAGCCGAAAGCCTGCAAAACGAAATTGTGTCAAACTTGTCTGCATAAAATTGAGTTTTTCGCCAATAAAGTTAAATGTTAAATAAAGTCAATAAGTTAGGAACAAATGAAAGCAAGTACTCACATCATTTTGAGATTAATCTTCTTTTACTGAGATACGTTCAAAGAATATTAAATATATTCCAGTAATATCAAACAGATTGCAAAAAAAAAAATTATTTGCAAGGATCAGGGCATTTACATTTTCTTTTTTCCATTTTAAAAAAACACACATCACATATATATATATATATATATATATATATATATATATATATATATATATGTGTGTGTGTGTGTGTGTGTGTGTGTGTGCGTGCACAAACAGATAATATTTTGTTTTAAATTTTGTGCATTTATGTGAGAGTGGAGATTACACAAAATTGTGTATAGAATATTTGTAAGGAGCAATAGTGTCGGCATATAAATCGGTACTTACAGACAAAAAAATGTTCTATCTATCTATCTATCTATCTATCTATATATATATATATATATATATATATATATATATATATATACAAGTATACGATTGTGTAAACGGAATAAATGCCAATAACTAAAAAATACTATTCTTAAAAGAGTGCTCAATACAGTGTAGAGCAGATATGACAAGAAAATTATAACATAAATATAATTATAATTTATAAAATATTTATGTTATAAATTCCGAATATATATATATATGTGTGTGTGTGTGTGTGTGTGTGTGTGTGTGTGTGTGTGTATGTATATATTTAAATATATGTTTGCTGGTACAAAATGTTATCAGTGCCATGAACAGACAAAAATTAGATTTATTATTACCACTCATGATAATAAAAAGTAAAAAACGGGCTAGCTAGCCGGTTTCGTACCTCGCTCAACAGAGCTAAATCGAGGTAAATAGAGTAAATTATATAATAAAAAAACAATGGACAAAGTTTATTGGTGGGAAGATGAAAAAAAAAATATTTAAATGGTAAAAATAAAAATATCTATAAGAACACCGGATTATATATCTTACTGTTCTTTCTTTTTATATATATATATATATATATGTGTGTGTGTGTGTGTGTGTGTGTCATTGCCAGCACTTCGTTTCCGAGCACAATCATCAACTGGTCTAACCAGTCCATTTTATAAACGCCTGCTCAGGCACATTTGTGTTTTTGATCAACGCCCTCAGTGACACCTGTCATTTAAACTGCAACTATGATGAGCGGACTTTAGTTACAGTTTCTGGGAGAGCGTGCAACTAGCGACGGCCTCCGAATTGTTCCGTCTGCCCAACTTTGCTCTCAAGACTTGGGCGAATCCGAAATATGGCTTTTATGCACTTCCCAAAAGTGATTGCTTACCAGCCCGATAACATCCTAATACTTTGACGATTCATGGCCAGAATCAAAACTGGGTCTCATGGTTGGAAAGTGAACGCTCTAACTAATCGGCCAAGAACACACACACAATATATATATATATATATATATATATATGTGTGTGTGTGTGTGTGTGTGTGTGCGCGTATATATATATATATATATATATATATATATATATATAAGATGCATATTTTATGCTCGTCTGGACATGACAATGGCGCAAATGAGAAACAAATTTTTGAATGTTCTACTTCAATTGTGCAGCTTCTGCCCAACCTCTCTCTTTTTCTCTCTCTTTCTTTCTTTCTCTTTCTCTTTCTCATTTCCTTTTGCTCTCACTGTACATGTATCAATGTATTCTCGATGTGTTTTTCTGTTTGTCTCTCATTTTCTCACTCTCACTCGTTATTTCTTTTTCCTTATCTTTCGATCTTTATATTTAACTTCGTGGGCGAAATGACTACTCAACTCAACCGGAACCTTATCGATTTTACCGGAAGCGGAAACTAGTGGGCTTTTGCAACGAGTAAAGATCAAAGACTAGGGCCATTGACTTAATGGCTGCCATGATGCGATCACGTCTCGGCCATCAGGAGACGCCCGCTTGATAACGTTTTAGTTTATGTGCAAATAATTGCGCGTGCGCATGACGTACGTACTTGCCTATACAATGTGTAAATAACAGGGCCACCATGCATGTAGGCGTCTTTTTGAAAGCGTGAACACGAGAATGTACGAACCCATCTGTGCGTAAATGAAGAATGTGCTAAATAATTTCAGTTTGTTTATTAGCAATATATAACCTCAAAATATACAAGTAGTATCACATTGTCCATGTGCAAACACACGCACACATATAAATATATACTACGGTGCTGAAAGATTCTCAACCCGGCAAATAGGGGACTTCCCTGCAAAAATCTGAAATTTGGCTGTGTTTTGAAAAATAGGCAGGACCGAGAACTTTTCAGCACCTCGACGTATATAAGTATATATAGATAGATAATGACAAAATGTTTATTTCGCGAAAAATAAAAACGTCGACTAGGATATTTCTAGAAAATAACGTTTTTGAAGAAATCAGTTTTTAATTATAATGATCGATAGAAAGAAAGAAAACGTGGAGAAAAGAGAACGTGAAGGAAAGAAAGAATGAAGGGAAAAGATCGAGGAGGAAAGAGAACAAGGAAGAAAGAGAACGAGAATGAAAGCGAACGTGAAGGGAAGAGAATGAGAAGGAAAGGGAAAGGGAACGTGAAGAAAGAGAACTAGAAAGAAAGAGAACGAAAAAGAGAGTAGTGAGTACTCGCCACATTTAATTGTAAAGCTTTTACAGGAATATCTGCTGAAAACTGAATGTAATTACCGCTAAACTCGGAGTACCAGCCATAAGTGAGCTAAATTTTATTATCAGGGGAAAGAGAGAGAGAGAGAGAAAGCAGGAATATTTTCTAAAGTCCCTTGATTATAATGAAGCAAAGAGGAACTAATACATCTACAATGGCTTCTGAAATCCCGCTCGACAACAGGAACCTCTTTATATATAGTCGAAGATTCAGTTCAGTTATGTGTGATACACGCTTAAGCTATCATCTATCTTTCGATACATGACTGACGAGGCAGATTTTTTTTCCCGTGGTACGTTTTTGCAGTAGACCGGTTGCCACCCAAGGCTATAGAACCCGGTCTGCCCTGCTATTTACCTACAGCTGGGGGAGAAGAAGAGGATTCATACCTTTCCCAAGGGTATTAGAACATAAGCGAATGTAATGGATTCAACTGGAATTCGAACTCGGCTCTCCGATTCGTCAATCCGAGCCGCTATCCATTACTCCACCGTATTAATGAAACATAAAACTGCCATAAAGCTAGCAAAGATTGAACCCACTCGCCATTTCTTGTTAATCATTACCTTGCAATTGGCTCCATTTTTATGTCTATATATTTATCTGCATTTATCTTTATCTCTTGTGCACCCGCATATATTGTTACCAGTTCATAGCGGAAATATCATTTGCTGTGATCTACCGATTGTTGAAGACTGATGTTTCGTGATAGGATGTATGAGATGTTTTCTCGAATAGGACATAGAAAAAATTCCGAGCAATATTGTATTATAATAACTTTCATTAACTTAGCAAAACTAAACGGAAAGGATATAAAATGAAGTAAACGAAAACGTATATATTGAGATGTCCTTATTCGTATGCACGGTGTGTGCCAATCTCTCCTGAATATCTTGGAAGATTTACATTAGAGAAGAGTTTCTTTTTGGTTTGGTAATTATGAAATAAGAGAGTACTGAATTGTGATGTAATATCAATCCTCTTATATGAGATTGAATATTGGCAGAGACTTGAAGCAAGGGAACTGTGATTCTACAGATAGATACTAACAATACCATGGACCGAACATATGAGCGACGATGAAGTTTTAAAGACAATGGAAATAAAACGGACAGACGAAATTTTTAGAGCACATAATGAGGAAAGAAGTTTGGAAATTTTAATACTCACAGGACAGATTGAAGGCAAGGGGAACAGAGGAAAACAACGCATAACCTACATAGCGAGCTTGAGTAAATAGATTGTGGAGCAAGTTTTAAGAGAGATAAAAAAAAAAAAAATTATGAGCTAAAAATGACATGAAATTGTGGAGATCCATGATCGCCAAAGTTCTGAAGGGACAAGGTATATAAAAGAAGTAGTTGTCAGCCTAGAGTATTTCTATGTTGTGTTGTGTATAATGTGACATAGTTCATTAATGATTAAGAAATCTCCCGAAGCGGAAACGATACACAGCGGTCGTTAGTAGAAGTTCCCTGATAGACAAGTGGGATATTCCTACAATATAAATGAAATTTTCATATCTCAATTTTATTATTCACGGTTATGATTGGAATATTGTCTCCATTTAAAATACGATGATAGGAAAAATTATTTTAAGCTCTGTTTTTATAGTTTTTTTATTATTTATTTTATTTTATTTTATTCTTCTGTAACTTGGATTTTCCTATCTCCATGTTACTGGATATATATTTTTATTAAATGAAGCATTGCAAACCATTATTTTTAAGTTTATGCTAGGATTTACTTCTTTTTATCTCAACTTTACAGAAGCCCTCAGTTCTACAGCATTGAGTCAAGAGCACAAGTCAGAAATAAAGGAAATGTGACGGTGATATCTGAAGTCATGTCTATTTGCTTCAGTGAAGCCCAGTGTAACATCCCAAAGTATATACAGAGGTTATTCTAGGCCGTTTTATATTCGGGTTATGTTAGGCCAGTTTGTAAGCCCGAGTTTTAATAGGCTACAATCTACACTCCTAGACCAAAACATAACCCCTTTCCTTTTCCCATACAATTAAATATATATTATTGTAACCAAGGGTACTATGCATCGGGAAATGTCACACGTCCGAAAGGATTTCAGTCTCGTTACCTCTAACATAACCTGAGGGCATTGCAGAAGCTTAACTTAAGGTTAATACTCTTAAAAATAATTGTTGACGATTGGTTTTGGTTTGCATCATTAGAAAGATAAGAATCAGGTAAAACATTCTGAATAAATGTATGTATAAGTTTCAAGATCCTCGAAATATATACATATCTACATTTAGAGTCGTGTGAATAGTAATGATGGATGCTGGTAAGTATATCGAAATTAGTTTCGGATCGTCAGTGTACGTGTACAGATTGGAAAAACTCCCCTTTCAAAGGCGTCTGTAAATTTCTATTCTATTACTATGTACCAAAAAATTTTCATAAATCCTTTCTAAATATATCAGAGCAGTCTTTGTATTAACAAATAAGAAATGGTTAGATTGAGTCTGGTAATAATTGCTGCAACCTTTATTACTGACAGTTAACGAAAGAAATAGTTCATTAAATTATCGTAAAAACTTTTATCCTATTAATTGAGAATGTTTTTAAGTCAATATCTTCAAAAGATTGGTATACAGGTTTATCCGAAGTTGAGTCTGTAATAAAACCACCACAGTCAGTTTGTTTTACGATACGCGCATCAAAATATACCTGACCAACTAGATACATGAAAATGAATATGGAGTACTTCGCTATACCACTGAGAAATATCAAAAGTAGTTGACTGGAATAAAGGTTGCGGTGGGGATGGCGATGAAACAGGTTTTGATGTCGAATTTTCGTTTTCATTCAGAGACTTCCACATCAAATTTTCTCAGATTTGCATACATCCGAATAGTTTGGAAAGAAAAGAATAAATCCCACGTTAGCTGAAAGGCGTACACTTATTAGCCTGTATATTTTTATCTGGCATTCCCAGGTTTTATTTAGTTAAGGAAATGTGGCGGGTGTTTAGAAGCTAAAGGTGAAACCCTGAAGATGTGGGAAGAACGACACAGAAAGAAAAATTAAACGAAATATATACAACATTAGACTATTTACAGTGGTGACAGCGCTTGTTTCAGGGTGTGTACTTATTCTAAAGCTCATAAGTGTGTATGTATATGTGATCTAATTTCATTCTCTTTGTGTCTGTTTGTCTTTGTTCTAAAATGTGTAAATACGAATAGTATTCATGGTGGTGGCAGCGAGTTCAAATTTATTTGAATTTTATATAAAAACAATAAAAATAAGATAAAAAGCGTCTTTTGAGAAATTAAAAAAATATATATTTTTCACTGATTGTTCTGTGATTCACTGATTATTATCTCCTATATATATATATATATATATATATATATATATATATATATATATATATATTATTTTTATCTATCACAGCACAAGAAAATAATTCAGAGAGAAAAAACAATCTTCCAAAACCTAATTAATTTTAAACTTGTAGTGCTTAGCGAGTGTTGTTAAATGGAGAAAGAAAATCAATCATCTAAGTAGAAATTTAGGTTAATGTCTTTTGAAATGGCATTAATTACAATATATTGTTTTCTATCACCAGTCATCTCTTATCAGAGAAGTACCCGATATGTGTCTGTTTAGAGTTTGGTTTGTTTTCCCTGCGATTGATGTTTATGCTGCTAGTATTTGCTGAATATTAGCTTTTTTTTTTTTTTTTTTTTTTTTTTTTAAGCGTTTCACCCCAAGCAAGGCGGGAAGCCACTAGGACGCAAGGGGTTACAGAAAATTTGGAGCAAGATCAGATAGGAGTGATAGAAGAAAGGATGAGGAGAAGGGTAGTGGATAGATCAAGGCAATTGGAGATGTCGATTGACATTACATTTGAATAGCTGGAGATTATAGCTCTCAGGGAAACTAGAATAGGGAAGGGAGTTCCACAAGCGAGAGGTGTGAGACATGAAGCTATTGGAGTAGAAGAGATGGCTACATTTAGGAGTTTCGACAGTGAAGGGGTGAGAGCGGGATGCCAGCCTCGTCGGGCGCTTGAACTCATGATGTCTGGGAACCAGCGAATGCAGCTCCTCGGAGCAATTGCCATGAAAGTAAAATAGGATCTCTAGGAATGCAGGGGGAGTTACAGTGAGTGAAACAGAATGAGAATACTTTAGTGAGGAAAAGTGAGAAAAGGTCAATAAAAGAAAAGGATTCAGGAAAACAGAAGATAACACAGTTGAGAAGTGCGAGAAAAGAAACTTTTAGAATAGAAAAAACAGTTGCACCTTGCTAGTTCAACAGTAAAACCTGGTTGTCAATCTAGTAATACACTTAAACTCATGCAGTCAAGGAACTAAGTTGCCATAGAAATAGAAAATAATTTCGACGCCGACAGAGGAAAGTGATATAACGTTCTGTTTGTTTTCAAGATGTTACCTAGCAGCTTCCAAAATAAAAGACCGAAATCCAATGTAAGAAAAGAAAGAAAGAAAAAGAACACTGCAATAAATAAGAAAATAAATGCCCATGTAAATAATAATCCACAAATTCTCATTAGAATGTACGTTTAGTATATATTTACTAATCTTAAGTCGGTCACAAGGTCATACCTCGTTTGTTTAATCCTCACATCTCTGCGAAAATAGTGCGCTAATCAACGATTTATGATGGCCACTTATAAATATTTCCTAGTTTAGATTTAGTCTGGCACAGGAACACGGGGTTAACTGATTACATTTGAAGTAGACAATAGAGCTATCTTAAGCACCATTGCTGTATGACAGGATCACTCAATTTTTCCTTCCGTTCGACTTATCTAAAATTTAAATAGCACCGCTTTGTGCAATTACGTTTGAGACGCGTCGAAGTGATGATTGAAAAGAAAAAAGAATGACTTATGTGCGAATACAGTGTCAACAAATCGACTGACGCAATCGATTAAACACTTAAAAGTGATGTAACGAGATAGAAATTGAGTTGTATGCTTTGTGATGTTTAGCATTTAATAAAAAAACGTAGACGTAAACAGTGATTAAATGTAGACTATTTTACTCTACCGAAAAATGAAGTTATTATTACCGAGAGTTATTTGCAGTGACCCAGGAGAGATTTTATCGCTGACAAGTCAAGACAATAAGAAAGAGAAGAAAAATAAGAACATTATAAAAGAACACAAGCACAAAGAGTAAGCTAATGGGAATCTAAATGCAATTATGGGATTGAAAAATAAGAGTGTTAAGAGTCAAATATAAGGCAAAATAAAAAATGTAAGATGAAGACCGGAAGGGAAGACGAAAGAATACATGTAAAAACTGAAAAAGAAAAATATTTGGAAAGACAGAGTATGAAAGAAATTAAGAAAGAGAGAAAAAGAAAAAGAAAAAACGGAAACAAAAAGAATCAAAAATGTCATTTGTTTATGATATTCAGCAGAATCAGTATAATAATGGATCAATAAACACGAAGATAGCTGAATTTGAAAGTATAAAGCTCCATATATGTGGTTACCATTTTTGACTTTAAAGCAAGGAGATGAACTTGCAAAATAAACATTTGATGTATAAAATAAACGTATTCATTTTTTTAACCATTAAGCCACAGATTTATTGTTTACATCTACCTATATATAAAATTCTGTGACTTCCTTTAGTCCATCCATCCGTTACACCCTCTAAAATAGCTTATGCATTGACCGATCGAAACCAAATTTTGAGAAGTACAAACACGTATGTGAGTACAAAGTACAGTTGGTTTTAGTAGGGAGCGGAGCTTAGTACAAGAAACTTTCATTCATTCATTTGGGGGGGGGGAATTAAGTTTTATTATTTAACTTACAAAATACTCCTACTATTCTAAAAACAATTTAATGATTAAAATAAATTCTTATTTAATAAAAATGCATTTTTTGCATATCTTTTCTTTTAAGTTATATATATATATATATATATATATATATATATATATATATATATATATATATATAGATAGATAGATAGATAGATAGATATTTCATTCTGACAAAATATATTGCAAAACAGTAACACTGTAAATATAAACACAGCAGGGAGAGTAGAATTTGTAAATCTCGACAACAGATTTAGCGATAACTTCAACAATGTTAAATACTGTGAGGATTTTAGCACGCGTCAGCATGTTGCAAAAATTCTAGTGTATAATATTTGTCTTTGAGTTAGTTGAGGTAGCTGTAGGTGATTAGAAAAAAAACGAAAGTAATATGTAGATCCCTTAAAAAATAAAACAGTCTTGGTCGTCTGTTAAAAGTTACCTTTTTTTAATCTACTTTCAAAAGGAGGAAAGTGGACGAAAAGAAACAGAAAAAGAGCAAGGAAAAAAGTCGGGAAAAAGATTAAAGAAAAAGCAAGCAGAAGAGGAAAAAAAAGAAAGATGAAACAGAATCCAAAACAAGATAAAAGAAAGAGAAAAGGAAAAAATCAGGAGGGGGAAAAAAGATAGAAAGGAAAGAAGAAAATAAAAGCATAAGAAAACAGAATAAAGCGTGGAAGCAGAAAATAAGAAGAATAAAAAGGAAAGGAGTAGGAAATGAGACATGGATAAGAAGAAATAGAAAATACAAGAAGAAAGGGAAATGTAGAAGATGGGAACAGAAGGATGAGAAGAAAGAGGTGAGGAGGAAGTGAAGAAGTGAGGAGGAAGAGAATAAAGAGGCGAGGAGGAAGAGAAGAAAGAGGTGAGGAGGAAGAGAAGAGGTGAGGAGGAAGAGAAGAAATAGGTGAGGAGGAAGAGAATAAAGAGGCGAGGAGGAAGAGAATAAAGAGGAGAAGAGGAAGAGAAGAGGTGAGGAGGAAGAGAAGAAAGAGGCGAGGAGGAAGAGAAGAGGTGAGGAGGAAGAGAATAAAGAGGCGAGGAGGAAGAGAAGAAAGAGGTGAGGAGGAAGAGAAGAGTGGTAGGAGGAAAAGAAGAAAGAGGCGAGGAGGAAGAGAAGAATGAGGCGAAGAGGAAGAGAAGAAAGAGGTGAGGAGGAAGCGAAGAGGTGAGGAGGAAGAGAAGAAAGAGGCGAGGAGGAAGAGAAGAAAGAGGTGAGGAATAAGAGAAGAGGCGAGGAGGAAGAGAAGAAAGAGGCGAAGAGGAAGAGAAGAGGTGAGGAGGAAAAGAAGAAAGAAGTGAGGAGGAAGAGAATAAAGAGGGGCGGAGGAAGAGAAGAAAGAGGCGAAAAGGAAGAGAAGAAAGAGGTGAGGAGGAAAAGAAGAAAGAAGTGAGGAGGAAAAGAAGAAAGAGGTGAGGAGGAAGAGAATAAAGAGGTGAGGAGGAAGGAAAGAAAGAAGAGGAAAAGAAGAAAGAGAAGGAAAAGGAGGAAGAGAAGAAAGGCGTGAGGGGGAAGCGAAGAAAGGGGTGAGAAGAGGTGAGGTGGTGGAGAAGAAAGAAGCGAGGTAGTAGAGAACAGATAGTTGAGCAGGAGGAGAAGGCATAGGAGAATCGGAAAAGGAGGGAGGATAAAGAAGAGGGAAAGGAAAGAAACGCTACAAAAAAATTAAAAACTAACAACTGTTTCAAAATTACAATAGTAAAGAATAAAGATATGGCGATCGGCACTTCAAAGACGAAAAGAATTCTTCTTCCACGTCAAAGACAGCGATTTTTCACTAATCGCCTGAAGTTAATGCGCAGCCTGGAAGCGCTTTTGTCTCGCTTAAATTCTTTTGATCTTGAAAATTGATCATCTCAGCCATTTCCTACTAACCACGTCCTTCTACTTTTAAACTGGCGTTTTCAAAATAGTCTTCAAAATCAAATCTTCGCAATCTGGAATTGTAGAAAACGTTGACAAAATTGCTCAAAATGTCACACACCAAAAACTTGGATTAGCTAAGAGAAAGAAACATATCGAGAGATAGTGGATGGCCTTCACATACTAACAAAAGGAAAAAAGACACAAACAAAACAGACATCATAAAAATACTTCTAAACTTAAACAGATTAATTATTTGGGAAGTATTCTACAGCTTTACACACACACACACACACACACACACATATATATATATATATATATATATATATATATATATATATATATATATATATATACTGTAAATGTTATATTTAGCGGACACATGTTTGAGTAGACATCCCTGTTTTTTTAAACAGTGTAAACTTGCATCAAGCGGTCTGTGCATTAGAATGTATCCATAAAGAAGAAAGGAATAAGTTCGAAGCCTTCCGATCAAGGTTTTTTTTTTTTAATGGTAAGATATCTTACACATGACTAATCTGGCTGTCATCGAGTCGTAAATTTTGAATCTTAGTTTTTTTTTCCCTTACATGAACTAAGGGTCTCTCACTTCCTATGGACATTGTGTGTGCTCGATAGACGCATCATCCCGCAAAAAGATTCATCTGCTCTTTGATAGGTCTTGTTTTTATTTCTGCAAACTGTCTTGTCACTCTGCTCGCCAGAAACATCTAGTGGGAGAACTAGTCGATATATATATATATATATATATATATATATATATATATATATATATATATATATATATATATATATATATATATATATATATATATATATATATATATATATATATAAAACTTGAAAATCAATTGGGCACCTCGACGTGGTGTAATGGTTAGCAGGCTTGTCTCGCTAGATCAATTAATAGTGAGTTCGATACTTTCGGACTTGAGCCTCATCTAAGCTACGCTTACAAAATCAACATATATAATTTAAATGTTATTTTTAGTGGATATCCATATTTGAGGAGATGCTCAGTTTATTTTAAACAGTATTTTATTTCGTCAACATGTCTAAACATTCAAGAAATCCTATTAAAGAAAATGCACCCACTTTCCTTATATATATATATATATATATATATATATATATATGAAAAGAGATCAAGAGTTTGATTGCGATTGCTGGTGCAGTTGGCCTCGACGTGTTATCCTTCAGCATCGTATTATAACAGCAAACGCCTTCTTCTATGAAGCAGTGCTTCGCGCTGCAATCGGCTTTATGCTCCTATGGCAACTTTCCATTATCCGTTTCTGGACGGTATATGCGTGAACTGAAACTGGGTGCCTCATTCCTTTAAGAAAGCCTTGAATGACCTGCTGGTTAGCGCAGTATCGTTCATATGCAAATTTCCCCGTTACAATATATATATATATATATATATATATATACGATATATATATATATATATATATATATATATATATATATATATATATATATATATATATATATATATATATATATATATATATATATATATATATATATATATGTATATATAATGTTTGCTTAATCGTTTCCGTGGTTGTCCGTCTGCTATCACAACTAGCTCCGCTGTTGCAGGCATATTTTGGTTTCTTCAACACCCACAAAGCAATAATGCTGACCAAACCTTAATTACAGTATCTGGGAGAGAAAGCATAACCTGACGTGATGAGAGGTTCTACAAGGCTACTCGTCTCAGACTATCGATCTTGATTTTTGTGACCCTGCAACTACATCCGAAAAATTTCGCCTACCATATATGATTCATATAGCTTTGGGAAAACACACACAATTGTTTTCAGGCAATTAACAATAGTGCCGGTGTCTGGAATCACCCCTCCAAGATGATGATATCAGGAAGTCACATCCTTGACAATTCGACCAGTGTTGAAATCGAACGTACTTTCATGATCAGAACGCTTTTGGCTGTATATAACTGATGAGATCATTCCTCATTTGTTCATAAGTAACTCGCTGCTTCCTTCTGCTCATCTGACCTTCAGTGTGACTTGAGAGTCTGAAATTCTCTCAGCCCTCTTTCCTCATTAGGTGTTCCAGAAATTCCAACTATTATTTTTTTTATTATTCTAAGTAAAAGTGTCCTTTCTGTTTCCATTTCCTTTATAGCATCCACGTTCCACCATAAAAATCCTCAGCATCTTTATGTAGAACCACATCCCTTTAAGTTTCCACTTCATCCGTGAGAAAGTTATTCCATATTCACTGCCATATAAGGATTGACTTTAGAAAAGAGTGCTGAAATTAATTTATAAAAAATTCCTCGTATCTTAAAACTTTGTTTATCATTTGGAAGGAATTTTTTTCTATTCCAATGCGCCTTCGTGTCTCGGTGTTCCATATTTATCGTCTGTTATAACACTTCTGTACTTACTTTATTTTCATGTCCCCAATTTGTATTTACCTGCTTCATTCATTTTTTATTTGTATGCATGCGGGTTTTTCCCAGTAAATATTCTGGATTATTCTAATATCTAATATGATTTCTAAATAAATCAATTTTTCTTAACTGTTCAAATAGATCTTTGTATTGTATTTTATCTAGTATTTTTTGTATTAAGAAATAAGAAATAAATGCTCACGTTGAGGAGAGACAAGTAATTTGCTATATCCAAAGTGGTGAGTTTGTAATAGAAAGATTTACCACGACTTTATCCACAAGTAATTTATAAATTACTGTTCGTATTATACATAATCATTAATTTGGTGAGGGTCACAGTTTGGTGATGCGTAGAATTTCAGGCAGTGAAATGACAAAGTATTAGATAAGATAACGTAGTAATTGTCTGGGGGCTAACTATTTCAGGTTGACTATTAGAAAGTTGGAATCAGAAAGAACTATTAAACAAGTTAGTAATGGAAAGCAAATATTAAAAAAAAATCTGTTAAAGACTAGAATGCATAGATAGTTGGGATATCAATATTTAGCAGGCACAGAACTTAGCTATCTGTGTAAAAGACGAGAGCAAGTGTAACATGGAAACTAGAAGGTACATAAAAATAGCGAAAGACACCTTCCAGTATTAAGACATAGGACATATGGCAGTGAATGCTGACAATTTTCTGAAAGATGAAGAGAAGTATTCCACTGATGAATTTTACAAATATCATGGGCATGACATGTAAGCAACGAAAAATTGTTAAAGAAAATAGTCACAACAAAGACACTTATACATACACGAGACATCTGGAATTTCTGGGACACAGGAAGAAGTAAGAGGGCTTGGAGAATTCAACACTAACTGGTTATATTGATGGCAAGAGAAGCGGGAGGAAAACTAATAACTTACTTAATGAACTTGTGTGGATTGATGGCAAATCAAGGAATGCTTTAAGGGTTAAAATTACTTAAAGCAAAAGTTAGGAAGTTATGGAGACTCATGATCGCCTATATCATCAACTGACTGAGTACATAAAAGAAAGAGGTAAGAAATTTCTCACGAATTCTAAGAGTCAGATGCAAATAGAAAATTCCCCTGGTAGCTTGTCTCCGATTTAAACCCTCTCTAGCTCAATCTTATATAAAATATTCCAAATCAGAAACGGGGAGAAACCTGGAATGGTTGCTACCTAAGGCTTAACTGTCAAATCTACTCTCTTATTTAACCTATAGATATGGCGATAAGAGATGGATTCTTGCCTTTCGCAAGATTATTAGTTCGTGTTTTTTTTTATTTGCCTATTTTAGCTTATAGCCCGGCTTGAGAAAACAGAGAGATGGGTCAACATCTTTTATTGTAACATCTTTCTTCGTTTCTAAAGAAGAAAAATTAATTAAAAGAAAAGATTTTTTTAAGTTATGTCAAAAAACTTTTTGGGTATATAGTGATTGGAAATTTACGATAGGGAATGAAAAGTGACAAGAGACATATGAATAAGTATTTTTAGGGTCATTGAAAATTTTATGGGTGTCATTAATATCTTCTGCCAGGTTGAAGCGGAGCAAATGCAGAATTTTTTTTTTCAAAGGACAGGATGCGCATGCGCATACAGTCAAAGTGTTTTATTATCAAATACGCGAAAAAGGACTCAAGTTAAGTGTCGCACGAGGAGAGGAGTCTACGTCAGTAAAGGATTAAATTTTCTACTTTATAAGATCAGGTTTATGTTAATACGACGTTTGACATTTGTGAGGATTTCATGTTATAAAAATAATATATTCTGATAAAATGTGTGTGCCTGTTTGCTTAAATAATATTTGTCTATTTTTTAGAAGCATCTCCTTTAAATGTGATATGAACAGGTAAAATGCTCATAAAATCAAAGATATTCATGTTATATTTACTTGTATCTTAATGCTCAATATATTTTATCTTAAAAACAGAGGCTAATACGTTTTTGAAGTTTATTTATCTAGAGATAGGGATGTTTTATTTTTAAAACACGGTCAGAACATTGTGGCCGTGTTAATGTTAATGAGTGTTGGGTTTTTCATTTTTATTATTTGGGCTTCCATTATTTTAATCTTTTTTTTACATGTGAATGAGGTTATTATGCTTGTATTGTCTGCTAGAATGTTTAGTATGGAGTCTGGTAGGTTTGTATGTGTGCTTAAATGAGTTCTGATGGTGCTGTGGTCGGATAGGTGTAACATAAGTCGTCTGGATATGCTCGTAGTAGTGTGACCGATGTAATTATTTATGATTCTGGTTTGATCAGAAACACAGCTTCTTAAGGAACATTTGAACAAGGAAAAAATTTTGATTCTTTGTAGTTTTGATTTTGCTGGTGTGTTGTTATTTTTTTATCATGAGTAATTTTTGTTCGGGTCAACTGAGGTAGTGTATTTCTTTATGATATTTCTTAGTGAAGATTCATCTTGCTTAAAGTTGACGTGCATTTGGCTTTTGTAGAATATATTATGTCATCGCTTTTGTCTATGTGATCAATATCTTTATTATTTACTTTGAAAAAAAATAGTCTAATCTGGTGGTCGATGAGGTAGTTACGAAAACCATTATTAACTAGTGTCTGTTTTACATTGTTGAGTTCTTTATGCAAAAGTAGATGAGATGATGCATTTTCGTGTGCTTTCTTCAAAAGTATAACCGAAAGCGTTCAGAAATACAGAACATATGGTCAGTTTTTACACACTTTGTGCCCAGAAAAGAAATTAAAAATATTCATAATACCCTACGTTGAATGCATAACTCATGCTATTTGCAATCTTCAGGGGCAAATTTGTGGTAATACCGTTTGTTTAATATTTCTGGTTATCGCGAGATATTTTATTGTTAATGGGGATATTTAAGTATTTAAATGAATTTTCGTTTAATTTTTTAAAATTAAGATAAAAACAATAATAATAATAATGGTTATATAGTAAAAATAGTAATAATATGATAATATATATCAGGAGATATGAATCAAACTATAACAAATTTTTTTATAGTCCTAGCAAATCAAATTGGGAAGGATATAAACTGAGATAAATGGAAATGTATCCACTCAAGTGTCCTTATTACTCCGAACGTTGAGGACTGGTGTTACAGAATCAGTAAGAAAAAACTGTACCAAATAACAGAAAACACATCACTTTCAAAGACAGAAACAACTAAAATGGACATCACATGTAACTCGAAGAGAATGACAATTAAGATACTGACATTCTAAACTACTTCAAATAAAACTTTAGGAATGAACCCCCTACAGAGAGAGAGGGAGAGAGAGAGAGAGAGAGAGAGAGAGAGAGATCTCCACTACTGGAAAGAGCTATAACAGCTACTAGACTTGAAAAGACTATTTTCCTGAAGAATTGTTTCGAGAGAAAGAGTTTACAAATTTCCAACACTAGTATAAGCTGCTCATTTAATGAAACAGCTTATAATACAATTATTCGTACATATGGTGTTTGTACAGTCCTATTCATGTTATTAAGATATTTACAGTGGAGAAAATATTGTTGGTAGTTATCAGCTTAGGGCATTTGCATGCTGTATTCTATAAAATGTAACAGGTGGTTCGCTGGGGACTAAAAAAAACAGATTAAATTGTAGGTAAATGAGAAAAAAAGGAGAGAAAAGTTTGTGGTGCTAATTTGGTTTGTTTCTACAAGGAAAAATATCTATACCGTACAAATTGTATTTTGATAATGATATCTACATAGTAAAACAGATGCTATTTTGGCTTGTTATCTTTTCCTTGTAGATAACAAGCCAAAGTAGTACTATATTTGACTATATAAATATTATTCCAAATTAAATTTTGTAGTGTAGATATTTTAGCCGATATACATGCTGTTTGACGCTAGAATATAAATAAAAGAAAATAATTCAATATTTTAATTACATTTTCTTTATGCTAGATATACGTCATTTTACTATGTAGATATCATTCCAAAATAAAATTTGTACGGTGTTGATATTTTTTCCTTGTAGATAACAAGCCTAACGAGCACCCATTCATTTTATACTGCTTTTCGACAACTCCATCTAGCGTTCACTTGCAGAAATTTCCTAACAGATAATTGAGATAATCTAATAAAATTAGAAGACCGATTAAAATTTTACTCCACTAATAAAGATTTTTAAGAAGCTAAGCTTTCTTTAGCAATTTCTTTTAGAATTTTGCCAATTATTCAAATGAACCTTAGGCATTTTACGTGCATTTATTTCTTCTGTGATTTAAATGATTTTCATTGATGATTTGAGTTCAGCTACCATTTCTCAAGTGTCATCTTGACAGAGTAAACATCATATGGCTATTATGTTTATGTCAAAAACCAATCAACAAAAAAGTTAAATTATGTGTGAACTGTACCAGTCTGGAAGTATGAAATAAACAACTACACATTTAAGAGGACAATAAAAAAAATCCTAGCTGTATTGGGAAGACAACAAAATGAAGTAATGATATTTTTACTCAACTGCACTACTTTATTTTTCTTTAATAACATATCATTTCTGTGAATTATCGTGGATTCTTGGGAAAGAGGTGAGTTGTTTCCTTTTGTCTTCTCCATGGTTTTGAATTCAGCGTTTTCTTTCGTCTGAACTGATTGTTACCTTAGGATTAAGAACCAAAGCTACCCTTACCTGGGGTCACGAGATGGATTCATGCTTTTCAGAAGATTATCACTGCAAAAGTAAGCGCAATAGATTAGGCTGGGATTTTAACTTGCTTTAGTTAATTCCATTTTCCGTGCCGACATCCATTACGCTTCATGCACATCCACTGCAGTCAGATACGATAATGAAAAGGTCAGTATAAAAGATGTTGTAGTTCTAAAAAAAAAAGTACCCTTGAGTAATAAATATGTTAAAAATTACTAAGAATGCTTTGTTTTGTCAATATTCCTGTGTTTCGTCACATCCACTTCAGAAGAGAATTGAAGTTTCCTATATGTTCCCATTTATTTGACATTCTGAGCATTATTTGAACATGCAAATATCTTATTATAATTCTGATTGTTCCTCGCTTAGTTAACACGCATGTTATTTGATACCATCTTCTCAGATATATAATAGACAATTCCGTTTTGATTTCGAGGAAAGATAGTAGAAATATATCAGATTTTGGTGAAAAGAGAGAAAAAAGAAAAGTTAAAAGAAAAGATAAAAAATGGGAAAAATAAAAAAGCGGTAAAAAGAAAAAAGATAAACCAGAAAAAGAAACAAAAGAGAAAAGAAAAAAGAGAGAAAAGCAAAAAAAAAGAATAGAGAGAAAAAAGACATGAGAGAAAAAAGAATAGAAAGAAAAAAGAAAAGGAAAAACAAAAAACACAAAAACAGAAAAGTGAAAAAGAAAGAAAGAGAATATAATAACGCCGTATGCAATAAATGTCTGCTTCAGTGAAAAGATTCAGAATTGGTAAAGTTTTCCAGTTGGAAAAACCTTGTCAATTTTTCATCTTTTTATTTTTACCCCATTACTTCTTTAAATATTGACCTGCATTCATTCTTATGATCGTTATTGCAATATTTGGCTAACGTTGTTAAGCTCCAATATTTAACGAAGCAATAGGGGAATTTCTTCGGGTATTTTATAGTCGAGAAACTTGAAAGGGACTTATTCCTTCATTAGCTTAAGAATTATGATTTATCAAAAATTTCAGATAGGAAGATTGTGAAATTTTCACGGCTACTATTAGTATTGATAAATATCTTTAATGCACATAAGAAATCACATATAATACAAAGTTAGTTTCCACAGTGTTATCCTTTATAAAAGTCGAATCTCGGCGATTAGATTCAACGCTAACATGAGAATATGTAGAGTTTAAAATGTTTAACTAGCGTCTATAAATACAATCAAAATGTCAGGTTATTAGCACAATAACCTGACATTCGGACTGAATTCGAGCGAAAGCTACTCGCAAAATCAAAAATCTTAAAACTACAGCCATATAAATGACAGGAAAATATTACAAGCCGTTTAGCACATGCAAGTTTATTATAATTAGCCAAAATTAAGAAGTGGGGTTGGTGTAATGGTTAATAATGGCGCTGGAAATGTAGTCGACGAAAGAAATTTAAATTCTGTCCACCAAAATATTTTTATTTACTCCACACTTGAAAAAGGCTTCAATCCAATTCTTCTCTCATCGCGCAGCGGATGAAATAATAGCGCACAGTGAACATTTTAGCTTTGGCAGAAAATGTCTAGACAAAGAACAACTAGAATTCAAAGACCTGTCTAAAGAAGAATATATACCGTCAGGTTATCTTACGCTTGGCATACCCATTATCTCAACGACCTTAAAAGGGTTTATGCGATACCTACCTCAAAATATTAAGTAAATGTTATTCTAAGAAAATCTGGAAAACAATTGATTACTGAGACTGCTACCAACTGTAAATAACCTTTGTGGATCACATATTGACTGTTGTGAGTTGAGAACATTTATAAGGTTGTACTTCAGTTTAATCCTTAAAAAACTGCAGGCCACTACAAGCACGTGGTATAAAACTGTTTAATTTTAATTGGAATATTTCAGAAAATGTATTAAATCAAGTGCTGTTTATGAAATTGAACCGCGTATTTTAATACTCGAGAGCATCTACGTCGGGAAGAATCTTTATAGACAGGTCAGCTTCTTGATTCGTTTCAGGTAATGATAAAAGGAATTTGAGAAAATTAAAACAGGGCAAATGTCGACAGATTACGAAAGAAAGCAGTAGAGAAAACAAGCAAAAGAAAATTTAGATCACGAAGAAGGGAGTAGAAAAGACATTAGTTGAAAGGAAGACAGTGAAGGGCGAAATAAAAACAGAATGAAATGAAAAAGAGAGAACAGGAAGAGATGGAGGGGAAAAAAGAGAGGACGGGAAGAGATGGAGGGGGGGAAGAGAGGACAGGAAGAGATGGAAGGGAAAAAAGAGAGGACAGGAAGAGATGGAGGGAGAGAGAACAGGAAGAGATGGAGGAAACAAAAGAGAGAACAGAAAGAAATGGAGGAAAAAAGAGAGAACAAGAAGAGACGCAGGGAAAAGAGAGAGAACAGGAAGAGACGGAGGGGAAAGAGAGAGAACAGGAAGAAATGGAGGAAAAAAGAGAGAACAAGAAGAGATGGCGGGGAAAAGAGAGAACAAGAAGAGACGCAGGGAAAAGAGAGAGAACAGGAAGAGACGGAGGGGAAAAGAGAGAAAAGGAAGAAATGGAGGAAAAAAGAGAGAGAACAAGAAGAGATGGAGGAAAGAAAGAGTAAATAGAAAGACAAGAAAGGAACGAAAGATAGACAAGGAAGAAATAAAAGAAACACGAGGAACGAAGGAATGGAAGGCAGGATGAGAAGAAACGAAAAAAGACAGGATAAGAAAGAAAAGGCGTTTAAACGTAAGAAAACCATGATAAACCAAGCCACATAAAAAATAAATAAACACTTTCCGAAAATTAATTGAATGAACGAATCTGCAAATAAACAAGCCTTATTGGCTTTTAAAAATCTATTACAACCCAAAATAAAATGATTAAAAAATATCTAGAACGCGAGAGACTGACGAAAAGAACGAAGGACCAGTCGAATGGGTTGCGGCCGAATTGCGTTGCTAAGCGACTGAAAGGCTGAGAAATGATGATCCAAAACCCCAAGGGCAGAAAGATTTTGCAATGATCAAGGACGATGACACACCATCGACACGGCCACTACTATCGAAGCCATTGCTGTCCAAATCGCTCCGATCTTTTGTTTTTTAAGAAGCCTCATTTCCAGCCAATCACAAGGGCTTTCTCAAAAGCAGACTGACAGACAAAAGATTTGGTAAACTACCTAAAAACATTTTTATTATTACAAAGTGCCTTTGTTAGTTGAACTAATAAAGAGCATATATAGGTCATGGCTAAATTTATAGTTTCTGTTTAATTTTATAAATATCAACAAACGAGAAGATTTATCAGATACAACACAGTGTTCAAAAATGAGGAATGATAAGTGTGGTTGAAAGTTGAAAAAAATCAGATTTCAGATAAAAATGTCAACAAATTTAAGTTACATTCAGTTTTATTCTACATATCATGGAGGATCGGAAAATAATGGATTTAACGATATTCGTTTTCCGTCGTTGACACTTGAGAGAGTGAAGATTTTAATGTAACTCATTTCATCAAATATAACAAGATATCTCGCGTGACCTTAAAATAAGATTGCCTTTTTGCTTTTTTTTTTTTAAACGCTTATTACTTCCTCTTTCTTAACCAGAGACACATACGTACACTTTCTCATCCTCATTTACCTCTTTACCTCAGTTTTTTTTTCATCGATCTTATCTCTCACCGAGTTTGGAACGTTTATCTTCCAAATGGTCAAACATTAGTATTGTTTTCGGAATTGCTTCTTAGTTGGGAAAATTTACAGGGACAACATCACATCTACAAAATTATAAAACTATTTTAAAATTTAATGGCGCAAAATAGACGCTGCTTAATAGACGCTGCTTCTAACATATGCACATTACA